AGCGTGGACCAGGGTAGCCGTTCGAAAGTGTCGGGGGGGGGGGGGGGGCTTATGAGAGGAGCAGACCAGTTGGTGTAGGACAACTTTCATGGCATGAGTTCTCCATTCTCTCTTTGGAGAATTTTATGCCACAGACCCGCAGAGAGGAGCTGCGCCGGCAGTTCGAATAGCTCCACCAAGAGGACATGTTTGTTACCCAGTATGAGATGAGGTTTTTAGACTTGGCTCGTCATACAATTTGGTTAGTTCCCAGCGAGAGGAAAAATATTAGGAGATTCATTAATGGTCTGAACTAGCAATTTCATTTTGTTATGAATTTGGGGAATGTAGTAGGTGCCAAGTTCGATGTGGTGGTTGACAGTGCTCGACAGCTAGAAATGGTCTGTACTCAGGAGAGTGAGGAGAAGGAGGCTAAAAGGTCTCGTGGTCCAGGTAATTCTAGCGGTGTTCCTTCGGAAGGCAGCCCTATCACGGCAGGGGTCGTCCTAATAGGCCCGCTTAGATGGCTCGTTCAGCTCATCGTGGCGCATCAGCTAGCCATGGTTCATACAGTGCTCGACCGATTCACTCATCTCTTAGTGCACTTCCAGCTTAGACTTCATCTCATGCACCATTAGTTCAGGGTTTATTTGTACCAGTTCTTCTGGTAATTATTCTGGTTCTCGAGGTCCGCCTTAGTACTTACCGACATTTTCAGAGAGGAGTTATTTTGAGTGTGGAGATTTGGGTCATATAAAGAGACATTGTCCCCGCCTCTTGGGAGGTCCAGCTCAGCAGAGGAGTCAGGCTACGTCTCCCGCACCAGTTATGTCACCACCCGTTCAGCCTGCACGGGATGGGCATAGGCAGCTAGAGGTCTCCCAAGAGGGAGAGGTCGATCAGGTGGCGGTCAGGCTTGATTTTATGCTATTCCTGCTAGGCCAGATGTTCTTGCTTCAGATACAATGATCACATGTATTGTCTCAATATGCCACAGGGAAGCTTCTATATTATTTGACCCTGGTTCCACATATTCATATGTCTCGTCATATTTTGCTCGTTGTCTGGATATGCCACGTGGGTCCTTAGTTTCACTTGTTCATGTGTCTACACTGCTGGGCGATACTATTATTGTGGATCGCAGATATTGATCGATTGTAGTGATTATTGGGGGATTGGAGACCAGAGTTGATCTTTTATTGCTCAGTATGGTCAATTTGGATGTGATCTTAGGTATGGATTGGTTGTCTCCATCAATGCGGGGTTACCAAGGGTCGAATGGAGAGGTTCTCCAGATTATGTTCCCAGTAAGGTAATTTTATATTTAAAGGCCCAACGAATGGTTGGGAAGGGGTGTCTATCATATTTGGCTTTTGTGAGAGATGTGGGCTGACACTCCTACTATTGACTCTGTTCCGGTAGTGCGAGACCTTTTGGATGTTTCCTGCAGATCTGCCGGGTATGCCACCCAATAGGGATATTGATTTCGGTATTGATTTGGTGCCGGGCACTCAGCCTATCTAAATTCCTGCGTATCGCATGGCACCAGAAGAATTGAAAGAGCGACTTCAGGAACTTCTTAATAAGAGGTTTATTGTGTTTCCTTGGGGTGCACATGTTCTGTTTGTGAAAAAGAAAGATGGTACTTTGCCAATGTGCATCAACTACATCAGTTGAACAAAGTTACAATCAAGAACAAGTATCCTTTACCACGTATTGATGATCTATTTGACCAGCTTCAGGGAGCGAGGGTATTCTCCAAAATTGATATGAGATTTGGGTATCACCAATTAAAAATTCGGATCCGAATATTCTAAAGACGGCATTCAAGACCCATTATGGTCACTATGAATTTCTCATGATGTCTTTTGGGCTGACCAATGCCCCACCAGCATTCATGCACTTGATGAATAGTGTATTCTAGCCGTATGTTGATTCATTTGTCATAGTATTTATTGATGACATCTCGGTATACTCACGTAGCCAGGAAGAGCATGCACAACATTTGAGTAGTGTACTATAGAGGTTGAGGGAGAAGAAGCTTTATGCCAAATTCTCCAAGTGTGAGTTCTGGCTTAGTTCGGTTGCATTCTTGGGACACATAGTGTCTAGTGACGTAATTAAGGTGGATCGAAAGATTGAGGCAGTTAAGAGTTGGCCCATGCCATCTTCGGCTACTGAGATTCGGAGTTTTCTCGGCTTGGCCGGATACTATTGTCTCTTTATAGAGGGTTTCTCATCTATTGCATCGCCTATGACTAAATTGACCCAGAAGGGTGCTCCATTCAGGTGGTCAGATGAGTGTGAAGAGAGCTTTCAAAAGCTCAAGACTACTTTGACCACAGCTCTAGTTCTAGTTTTGCCTTCAGCGTCGGGTTCTTATACTATATATATTGTGATGCTTCTCGGGTTGGTATTGGGTGTGTCTTAATGCAGGAGGGTAGAGTGATTGCTTATGCTTCACGCCCGTTGAAGCCACATGAAAATAACTACCTTGTTCATGATTTAGAGTTGGCATCTATTGTTCATCCATTAAAGATTTGGAGACACTATCTCCACGATGTGTCTTGTGAAGTATTTACAAATCATCGGAGTCTTCAACATTTATTCAAACAAAAGGATCTAAATTTGAGACAGCGCAGATGGTTGGAGTTACTAAAGGACTGTGATATTACTATTTTATATCATCCCGGGAAGGCTAATATGGAGGCTGATGCCTTGAGTAGAAAGGCGGTGAGCATGGGTAGCCTTGCATTTATTTCTGTTGATGAGAGGCTGCTTGCTTCAGATGTTCAGGTCTTAACCAACCAGTTCTTGAGATTAGATGTTTCGGAGCCCAGCCGGGTCCTAGCTTGTGTGGTTTCATGGTCTTCCTTATATTACCGCATTAGAGAGCGCCAGTATGATGATCCTCATTTGCTTGTCC